CCCCCCACCCCTTGTTTTTAAGTCTCATTAAAATTTTTATTATGTGGTTATGTGGTTATATACCACCTTTGATTTGGATCCTTTTGGATATATAGTTAAAATCACAAACTGACTAATGATTGCCAAACATATATAATAAACTTTTAAACACATATCTAGATTAATACGGAGAAAAGTGCTTGAACCCAACCAGAGAATGATCCATATTGCCTGATGGAGATAGTGCCAATGACCACGGTGATACCATGTCCTAGAAATACTGCCTAAAATGTGATTTTGTGAAGGTCCTAAGGTAATGAGGACATCAGAGCTTATATACTTCCCTCTCACCCCACCATTAAGGGTTTGCCACTTGATATAGATCTGCATGAAGGCTTTTCAAATTCAGTTTCTCCTTCTCTCCCCTTGTTATCACTGTGGTTGAGACCTTTATTACTTTATTCTTGCATTATGATAATGTACTCCCTGATCATCCATTCATTCACCCGAAAATATTTAACGCATTTCTGCAATGTTTGCTTTAGGATATACCACTATCCCTCCTACTCCTAGTCTTCTAGTACTTTTCTGATACTCTGCTACTTGTCACCATCACACCACCAGCATCACCATAACATAAGAAGCACCTACTATTTGTTCCTTAGGCTGTTCCAAATACTGTATTTTATATGTGATAACCCATTTAATCCTCAGATATCCCTCTGAGTAGGTGCTGTCATCTCCATATTATAAACTGAGGCATACAGAAGTTATGTAACATGCCCAAGGGCACACAAAAAGCAGTCTCGTTTTTTTACATCTTATATTCTAATGAAGAAAGACATGTAAAAAGTAATTTCTCCTGGTGAACAAAGTATAGTCATACCTTGGTTTGCGAGCATAATTCATTCTGGAAACAAACTACTTGTATTGCAAGGCATCGCTTGTTGACCACGATAAAATGTATTAGAAATGTTAGCTCATCTTGCAGAACACTTGCAAACCAAGTTACTCGCAATCCAAGGCTTTACTGTACATTACTTGCCTGAAGGGACGAGGAAGGGGTTTTCTGGGGAGATGGCCTCATGTGTTGTCTTAAATGGTGCATTATAGTTCCCTAGACAGACTAGAGGATGAGGGCATTCGTTTGAGGAAATTGAGTGGTTTGGTATAACTGGAGCTCAGGGTATATGTGGAGAGAGAGGGCTAAGGGCAGAAGTTGAGACTGCAATCTTGATTTTGCAAGTTGAAAGCACATGGAAGTTTTAAGACTTTTTATTTGGAAATCATTTTTGACCTAAAATACAAAAAAAAATAGTATAACTTTATCCAGATTTACCTTTTGGTAATATTTTACTCTCTTTGATTTGCTATTGCTTGCTCTATCAATCATATCTATCTATCTATCTGTCATCTATCTATTATCTACCTACCTATCTAATCTATATCATCTATCTACCATCTACCTCACTATCTAAACATGCACCTAAACACACACACACACACACACACACACACACACACGCAGGAAAAGTACATGTTGACAAAAAGTGAAAGGCTGCAGGTGACCAATTTAGAAATACAGTAAAATAGGAAGAGTTATAATAATTAATCAAGCACCCTTGTTTCTAAATAAAGCCTATATTTTTGGTGCTGAAATAAAGGATCGTTGGAAAACAGAAAAGATACACTCTCTCCATGGTGCTGAAAATTGAATTCTATTAATTTTTGGTGTTGTGAATGTCTCGTTTTCCAATGTTCTAAACTTTAAGGAGACTTAAAGACAATTAAATAAGGCACTCAAGAGCTTTGGTTGGAGGAGGGAAATGCAAGAAAATGGAGGCAGATATGTGTTCAGATTTCGCTTGGCTTTGTCCTTTTGGAACATTTTTATTCTTTCATATAAACAGGCTAACACATATTTAAATGTCTGAATCCATTATATGTCACAAGCGTAGACAACATAAGGGCTATGTCTGTAGAACTGAGTAGAAAATCGAAGTAGCTTTTTCCACACTGAGAATTTAATAGCAGGCAAGGAGGCCTGGCTCCACTGGGCGGGGCGAAAAGGCGCTCAGCCAGCTTGTGAAATGAGGAAGAGAACTAAAGAATGATCCATCTATAGATTTAGGATTTAATAGCTTTGGAAAGGTAAGTCAAATATTTTAACTGTACTTTCGTCAAACTTTCCTCTTAAACAGCATTCCTACCGGAAACTTTTGAAAACAGCTACAACATTCATTTATCTCAACAGCTGCAGGTACTTGAACCTGAGCTTCTACAGTGTCCACAGCCTCTTGAACAATGAAAGTGGAAATTATCAGAGAAACAAACCATGCTGAATTCAGTTAAGTGCTCTGTAATTACACACCAGTATTACCATTTGGCTGCTGGTGCGGCCCCCCCACAGGCACAGGTGCCATAAATGCTCACACACACCCAATCAAATCCACAAAGACCTTTCATTACATATAATTTGAGGCACCCTTAGCTTGAAAACACTAGCTCAATTTCATTTCTTTCCCTTCTTCCTCTTCCTGTTTCATTCCCTTTGTTCTTATATGTAAGAATTCTACTTTCCTAATGAATTTTAGCATGCTATTTTATCAGAAGCTGTCGCAACTGTTGAGTGTGAAGGTAATGTGGCAGGAGGAAGAATGTCTGTCCTCCTCATGAGTGTCTCCCCGGGCTCTGTGAAAAACTGGTAATAATTGTTCCTTTTCCTCTTGTACATAATGTAGGGTGCAAGGTTTCCAGAAAGAGAGTTTAAGTACCTACAGCTGTTGAGATCAATGTAATAATGGGGAAAAAAAAAAGCCCAAAGCCCTCAGCAAGTCAAAATTAGCACCATTTGTATATGCTTCTTGTTAACGATCATTTTTGAGTCTTTACAACTTTCTTTTTAAAAAGGACTTTTATCCACACACAAAAAACTATCGATTGTTGATCAAAACAAAAATTAGGTTCTTCTGGTAGCAGTAAAGGTCCACTTTCTCTGTCCTGAAATTGCCAGCCTAGCTAATTGTTTCTTTTAGGTGTTCCCTAGAAGAAACACACAAACCGTAGAAAAGTGCTTTTGTTTGTCAAAGGAAGCAACACCAGCGGTCTCACAAAAAAAAATCAAAGATGCCTGTGTCTCCAAATAACATTTTCCCACACAAAGCTCAGTGATGGTGGCAGCCAAAATGAAGGCAGGCAAAATATCAATATGTAGAAAGAGGAGAGAATCCAACAAACTTAAAATATGGCATTAAAGGAGAGAAATAACTTAAAAAGTGTATGTATTTTATTAATAAAGATGCATTCTAATATACAATGTCTAAAAGAGTATATTTTCCTTTCTGAAATGTAAGGGTACTTAGGAGTCTTTTATAACCTCTTTTCTACCTGCCTATGGGAGATTCTGAAGGAGGAAATATGGCAGGGCTTTGAGGCCTTTAGTATAACAGAAATATTCTGCCAAATGTTTTCCATGAGTCTACAAATTTCCACATAGAATGCTGCAAAATAAATTTCTGTGGAATAATTTAATTTGACTGTAATAATTATTTTAATCTCTCCATTCAAGAGGATTTACATATAAATCCTTTAAAAAATGTTTTCTAATTAAATTGAAGACATAATATCATATCATTTGCCAGGTTTGATGTACTTTCTTTCCCTGTCATAATTATAATATATAGGGAGTTGCAGGGGGAAACTGGCGTGGTTGCAGTAAAAATGTGAATAGCAGTTTTTAGAGATTTTTAAAACCATGAGACATAAGTATTCAATGTAAATTAGGCTCATACCTTATTCACTGTATCAGAATAAGATAAAGCAACACTGACTTGACTTTCCCAATATCGGGGAACTCCAGAGCAAAAATCACCTTGTGCTAAATCTATTACTATCTCTCCTTGGGATACCATGTAAAATCCTATTTGCCTCAGAAGTAACTCAGGAACTCTAGTGCCTGGTTCTGCTGAAACCTGTGGAAGTGTGGGGCCCCAGGGACTTCTGAATGCAGACAGATGATACTTTGTAGACTGACTCATTAGGGAACAGTCCCTGGCTTACCCTTTTTGAGTTTTGCTATGCTAATCTCTCTGGAAGGCTGATTTCAAACTGATATTGTCAGAAGTACATGAAACACACAGGTTCTTGGGATACTGTACTTGAACTAAGGTCCATACAATGGGGTTGGTTTTAATCAATGATGGTTTTTGTTGATCCGTTGTGGTTACCCCACTATAAATAATTCCAGATCATTCAGTATTTCTTTTCCTCAACATGCAACTCAGAGCTGAGAACCAATCATGGGTCTCTGGTACTTAGACAGGTGTACAGAAGGTATGGGCACATTTGGTTTATTGATTTTTGTATTCCTGGAACCTAATTATGGTAGGTGTTCAAAACTACTGAATCCTCACAATTTTGATTCTAAGACATGATTGTGGTGAGTAGTGTTTGATCAGAATGATTATGTCTCTGTCCTCTCTATTAATTACAGGTTTTTATCCCCTCTGTTGGCCACAGAGAACTTGACCCAGTTTACACAGGGCCTCCAGTTTTAACTTCACTCTTCATGTATTCAGGAGGCTGGAGCAGTTTGTAAAGGAAACACTGATAAACAATAATTTTCCCAAATCTTTAATCTGCATTCTCTTCAGGACTGTCATAGATCAATAGAACTATCTTTCATCTTAGTTATTGTTTCAGTCATTTTATGAATGCGCATATCTCCATGCTCATGATATGAAATAAGCATGTTTATCAACCTCTGAAAGTTATATTTTATCAATAACTTCATTTATTCTTTCTCCATTGTAGTTTTTTTGTGGCCACTTACCATTCCTTTTACATCTTTTAAATTTCTTATTATAGAATATTCATGCATACATATTTTTGATATAAAATAGATCATTTAAGAGTATATAGTGTCTTGTATATAGTATCTCTGTATCACTTTTCTTTGTGCCTTAAACTTCATTAATGAATTTCACAAATATTTGTTGAGTAGCTACTTGAAATAAAATGGAGCAGTTTTGTACTTATGAAACGTACAGTTTAGCAGTCAATGCAGAGGTTTTTTTTAATTATGATAATAGAGCTTGATTAATGCTGTAGTAAGGGAAGTTTGGGGACTATCTGAATAAGTGCCTGGGACAGATCAGAGCAGACCTCTGTAAGGAAGTAACATCTAAGCTGAAACCTGAGTGATAAGTAAAATTTTGCTAGGTGAAGAAACTGTGGTGTGTTCTGCTGTGTGCACACACAGTGGAAATAATGTGCATGAAGACACCAAGGCAAGGGAAACATACTGTGTTTGAAGAAGTGAAGGAAGCTGAGTATTACTGGAGCATCACGCATGTACAGTTGATGGAGGTGCTAAGGAGCTAACACACTAAGTCATAAGACCCCTGTAAGCCCTGTAAGGAAGGTGAATGCTTTGCTGAGTAATAGGAAGCTGTTGAAGTGTTTTAAGGTAGAACGTGACATAATTGCTTTGCATTTTGGGAAAACTCATTTTGACTACAGAATGGAGAATGGAGGTTGGAGGCTGAGGCACTAGTTAGGGGATATTACAACACTACAATGATCCAAGACAGAGGAAGAGAGAGAGTGAGAGCTTGAGAGTGAGAACGAGAGTGAGAAAGAGAAAGAGAATTGCATGATATGTTTGGATGAGTGAGACGGGATACTCAGAGTCAGAACTCCACATTCTAGTAGCCTGGGCAAATAGATGAGATGTCACATGTTTCTTGGTGCTAGATGACCCAGGAGTTACAGCAGGTTTAGGGCTGAAAATGGTAAATTTTGTTTTAGGCACATTAGTTTCAGGCATCCATAAAAGGCAGAATGGAAATGGTATATTGTCAGTGGTTGAAAGCCAGCCTCTGAAGCCAGTCTTCTTGGGTTTGAATCCAGGCTCTGACACTCAGTAGCTGTGTGATTTTGAGTAGGTTATTTAATTTTTCCAGACCTCAGTTTCTTCTGTAAAATAGGAATAACAATGTCTACTTACAGGATTGTTGTGAAGGCTAGATTGAGAAAATGTAATTAGGCCCTACTTGGAGTAATGCTGGGTACAGAATAAGCTCTAAGCATTGCCATTTATTGCTATTTTTGTTATTTATGGACCATCCAAATGGAGATGTCTAGTAGGCAGTTGCATATTCATTTTTAAAGATTGGAAATAGATCAATTATCAGAAGCACATGTCTTATTAAATATCTATTATATTCTGGGGAAAAAAATTAGCCCTAAAAAGGGAAGTTCTAACAGTTATCTTTGACCTCTTAGCAATATAAAAGTGAAATTTATGCACTGTTAACATGTTTAAAGATTCTTGAATGGAATATATCCTAGGAAGACAAAATTGCAACTTGTTATTTCTCCTAGTCCACATAGAACTACATTTTCCTTACATATAAGGAAAATGCAGTTGTATGTGGACCAAGATAAAAAGTTTTAATATTCTAATAGCAAGATCAGATTAACCCAATTTAAAAAAAATATGGTCTGTCCATCAGAAATAATATAATTATACCAAAAAATTATGAAGAGTAATTTAGTTGCAAAATTTTGATTTCTGGAATGGCCTTATTGATAGTTTGGCAGACAGTTTCTCTGTACGATGGGTTTGGACATGATACTTCTTCACACCATGACATGCTATGATTTTCATTTGATTCTGAGTATGGCAGCAGTGGTCACAAATGAGCCCAAATGCAATGTAGATTTTTGTGGGAAGGGGTGACGGCATGTTGTAGTTGCTGGGCAGGCCGGTATTTGTTGGCATGCGTTGACTCTCAGGGCCACGATTGCTTTAGGCTAAAGGATACTAGCAATGTTATTAATAGGGAACCTATTTTGAGCCCTTACTCTGTACCCCATGTTATGCTAGCATTTAAATCATGTGACCTCATTTTAATGTGCATGCCATTCCTAATTTACAGATATGGAGAGGGGCAAAGTGACTGCCCAAGGTCCTACAGAGGTCGGAGGAGTAAGAAAAGCAGTAGGTCTCAGAAGGAGATGGAGACAAGAGCAAAGGGAAGATCAAAGGAGTTGAGAGAGGGAGGCAGGAGGAATGGACAAAGAGATGAAGGAAGAGTTTAATGTTGTCTGAATATGTATTTGGTCACATGAACTGATTTTTGGATTGTTGTGAAGATATGAATGAAAACATGAGTTAGAGTCAAAAGCTGTTGCAGCTGTTGGCCGTTTGGTGGACCCAGAGGATAAAGAAGTCTGCCTGGAGAGCAGCCAGCTTTCATGGGCTCATTCCTGAATACATTGGAGATGCACTCTGAGGGGTAATTTATAGGGGAGAGTCAGAGGTCCGTGCTTAGCTGGATCCCA